TATATATTATATATATATATATATATATATATATATATATATATATATATATATACCCAATTTTATTCTTATCATTAAAAGATTCTTTTTCCTTTTTTTTTCTTTTTGTTTACTTTGTCTCTGTTTACGTTTTAATTGTAGGAAAAGTCTTTTATATTAGTTCGGGGGATAATTTTGATTAAAACTTGATTGAATTATTAGCTTTGTATGAAATTTGAATTTTAATAATAAATATATGCTATAAAAATGTTATTTTGCTCTAATTAATTTGTTGTTTTATAAGCGTACAAAATGAAAATGCTTTGAATGGAATACTTTCTCTTTTCCTTTTCCCAAAGCAAAGACATTTATTGGAAAGGATTAAGTATGGAACTAAATTATGCAATGATTGACCACAACTGACCACAGCTGTATGAAAAAGGAGATAAGAAAGGAGGAGGCGAAGGAGGAGTAGGAGGAGGAGGAGGAGGAGAAGGGGTAGGATGAAAAAGAAGGAAGAGAGGTATAAAGAGGAATTATAAGATCTAAATGATTCATTCGTTGGAAATTAAGAATTTGAAATTTTCATTGAAAATTTTCTAGTGACCATATGGAAGCGTATTATGCAAATTGTGGCGATGAATTAAGCGGTATCGAATATGAGGTCAGCATTTGTTTTCTTATTGTTGTTTGTCATATCAATAATTAGATCATGTTATCATACAACTTATTATATTTCCCAATATTTTCTAGGAAACTAAAGTAAAAAGAGGCAAAAAAATTAAATAAAGTGTTAGTTTAAGTTGAAAATATTTCGTGTTATTGTTGAATTATCTATAAGTTTAATTATGGTCAGCGGATAGTTTAAATTCAATAATTGTAATGTTTAAATGATAGGATACTTTTCAAATCAAAAAGGGAAAAAGAAGTGATAAATACTCATTTTAGATAATTCTGATAATAAATGTTATTCTTGCGGTTAGAATATAACGTATTTTTGAAAACTTTTAAATTTTCAACTTAAAAAGTGGGAACTTTAAAAGCAATTTTCTCAAAAAGAAAAAATAAATAAAAAGTGATTTATTGCAACATTTAACTGTTAAAAGAAAGCCGTCATTGCAACGCTTTTTTTAAGTCCGAAAAAAAAATTGTGGAATTATAAATTAGGATTGTGTTTTTTTTTTGCTTTAATTTTAAGTCTTTTATTCACAATTTACTTTTCATTTTATTTTTTAATGTTCTCTTTTCTAAAAAATTTCTGCGTAAAATTTATGATTTCGTTTTTTTCAAGTAAAATAACCAGTGAAATATAATTGCATATTCCAATATGTGATATATTGTTCTTATATTCTAAAAAAAAAAAAAAAACCAACAAAATGAATTGATTATTCAATATTTTAAAGTAATATTTGAATAGACACTCTATTTGAGCTTCATGTAAAAGTTTTTTATTTCTTAATTTTATGATTTAAGAAAAAAGGAATCCCTCATTTATCAAAATATTTTCCATGAAATTTTCATATTTATACAATTTAATTTTTGATTTCTCGCACCTATAAATATCATTTATGTACGCTATAAATATTCTAATAACGAATAATATTTATTATTATTATTATTATTATTATTATTATTATTATTATTATTATTATTATTATTATTATTATTATTATTATTATTATTATTA